CTTGATGGATGTTAATCTATCTTTGCTTTTTTGTTTTTTGTTTTTTTGGTTCCTTAGTTCCTTGCACATACGCATTTTACACTCATTTGACCCCAGGACATACATGTGAGTTGAAGGAAAGTAGCTAGAGTAGAGGCCATGGGAGTCTGGGCTCATGTAACTGACTTATGCCTTTGGGACCTGTGAGGCCTCACATCTATACATCCCTCCCCTTGAAGATGGAGTGCTGCCCATTTGCCCTCCTCTGTGGCGTGGTGGTCATGAAGGGCGGTCCAGGTGACGGGGTCACCCGGTGACCCCAGCCTAGGCACACTACCTCTGCTGGAGCCCAGGAGCAAGTGGCAGCCACTTCTCAAAGCAGGAGTGACTGCGTCGAAACAGAGCATGACTTGGCTGTAAGCTCCTCGGGGGTCATTCTCTAACTCTCCTGTTAGGGTTGGACAAGAGGCTTTACCCGCCTCATCTGCCACAGAGACCGTGGGGAGCCTTTGAAACCACCCAGTTGTAAGGCCCGAGGGCAGGGCAGCGTGGACCAGCAGCAGAGCCTTCCCCTGGCCTGGACCCCACTCAAGGCAGCAGCCTCGTGGGGGTTCGGTAAAAGGCTGGGAGCAGTGCTTTCGCATGTGGGAGAAGCTACCTCAGAACCCAAAGGGGCCCAGAACTTGAGAGGGCGGAGGTGGCACTGAAGAGAGACGGGCCACACCCAGCTCGCTCCATAAGCTTTCTGTAACTGGGCTCTCACCGTGTGCTCAGCTTTGTACTCGTGAGCATCGTAAAGCCTTTGCTCCTCTGATGGTTACGCCTTTAGGCAGACTAGGCCGCATCCCTGTGGTTTAACTTAAAATCCATGATGAGAGCAGCTCTCTGAATTCACGCGAATCTCTTTGAAAAAGAGTGACTCACAGTGAGATTTCTTTGAGCGCGGTCGTGCATTGCATAATTCGGGAGGAAGCCCCAGTGCGTGTTTTAAAAATCTAGTAAGAATTAGCTTTGTTGTCTGCCCGGACAGGTGTGACGCCAGCATTGCGCGGCTCTCTGCGGAGCACAAAAGCACGTGCGAGGGCCTCCAGCACTTGAACAAAGAGCAGCAAGCCGCCAAGCTTCTCCTGGAAACGAAGATCAAGGACGCAGAGGGACAGGTAGGGCCCGTTTCAGCTGGCTCTCCGAGAGGGGGTGACTTGCTCTTTTCTAAGAATAACAGGAGAAACCAGATGGGGCACCCTGCGTAAGCATCTCCTTCATTTCTTCCTTCTGTTTCACCGGGGTGACCCTTCATACGTCTGGCGACCAAAATGCCAAGATTTTTCGGAACAATCCTAATTGTAAAGATTCTTTCCCCCTCGTCCCTCAAACAATTAATGTGTCCCAGAAATTCTAAATTCTGTCTCCAGAACTACCTCCTGCACAGGTAAGGGGTCAAAGCATTGTTTCTCATGCCTCTCGTCCCAGTTTTGGGTTCAGGAAGTAGTTACTGTATTCATGGGACTTGGTGGGCTGCCTCGGCACACAGTTTGTATGTGGGGAAAAATTAGAACAAAGCTGTAGGGCAGGCTGGCTCATAGATTTCAGAGGCTTCCACCTTGAAATTCACAGATTAGCTTCTCAAAGCAAAACTTTTGGTTGCTTTTTGGCCACTTGGAAGTTTCCCTTTGTCACAATGTGGCCCGTCTTCTAGGACTTTCCCTGCAGTGTCTGCTTGCCTCTTCATTTGAAGGGAGGCTGTTCCAGTAAAATGGGGTGTCTGGTCAGTTTGTTGGGTTAAACATGCTTGTGTCCTGACAACCTCCAACCAGAATCGAAAGCTGCTCATGTAAAAAGCACAGTTATTATGGAATCATGGGGAAAAGGGGGTACAGTGACATGACAAGTCCAATAATTTTCTGTAAAGAAAAGTGAGGACAGAATTATTACATCAGAAAATAGTTGCTAAGGAAATACGAAGCTTTCTGGTAGCCAAACCAAGTAGAAAAACACATAGAAATCCATGAAAAGAGATGTGCTTTTCCTTTGCTCCAGATCTGATAAATACTTAACTCCAGGAATCTTGAAGTAAGGAACACTGAGTATCAGTTCCTTAACTTCAGATGGAATTATTGCAGAAAATAAAGGCATTTCGTAGAGGACTAGTTTTGTATTAAATTTCAGTAAAAAGATGAGGGAAATGAGTAGGTAGTGGGAGAAAGGAGTAAGGGGGTTATAGTTTAAGAGTTGTATTCAGGAGGGAATAGCTCAGTAGTAGAGTGCGTGCTTAGCATGCATGGGGGCCTGGATTCGGTCCCCGGTACCTCCATTAAACATAAATAAATAAACCCAATCACCCCCAAAGCCACCCCCACCCGCAAATTGTATTTTCTGGTAACTTACTTTGATGCGGAGGTAAATCTGGAATTTTGATGGATTTTGTAAGTGATAAGAATGCCATTCTCTGCGACTGGCAGCCTCCCTAATGGTAGAAATTCCTGGTTAAAAAGGACTTGTGTTTTGTGCCATCAGGTGGAAGTAGTGGTCCCCGGCAGGAGCTGGGCTTGCCCATCAGAGACCTGTAGTCGAGTGCTATTGGTCTGGATTTTTTGTGGATGTGTATGAAAGAAAATGGAGACATGAATTTATTAAAATGAGTTTATTGAAATTAGATTGAATCTAATTTAAGACTAGAATACCGCTTACTACTGTTTTCTGAAATTGCCTCTGAAAAGGTTTGCTGGAACATTGACAAGCAAAGTTTCTTTTCCAGATTTCTCAGCTTTTGAACAGAGTGGACTTGTCAATATCAGAGCAAAGCACCAAACTGAAGATGTCCCACAGAGACAGTAACCACCAGCTTCAGCTCTTGGACACTAAGTGAGTAGTCAACTTAGAAACATCTGTTTCGGGTGAAGTTCTCTGTGAGCTTACTACGGAGTGTTTTGTTTGTTTGTTTCCTTTTGGTTTTGGTTAATTGCATAAACAAAGCGAAAACTGTAATGGAAGTTCACAGGAAAAGTTTCCTTATAGGTATGTTACCACTTTGCCTTCCTAATTATTCCTCTTAGTGGCTGGATAATAATCCATCTGTTCATTCAGTAAGTATTTCTTGAACCTGGCCTGGGTGCTGAGGGTCTAGTCAGGGAGGAAAACGGGCCCTGTTCTTATCCTGGTGGAGCTGATGGTCTGGGGAGTCGATGAATGTCACTCACACAATGACGTCAATGAGTGTCTGCTGTATTATTACTAATGGTGCTAAGTGCTTTGAAGGAAAGGCACACAGTTGTGGGAGACAGAATAATGGTTCACCCAAATATCACGTCCTAATCTCTGTCAGTATGTTATGGAATATTGTACAGCAAAAGAGATTTTGCAAATGTGACTGATGTAAAGGTCTTAAGATGAGGAGATAATACCGTATCATCTGGGTAAACCCGCTGTCACCCTACAGTGCCTGTAAGAGAGGGGCAGGAGGGTCAGAGTCGAGAGGGACGGGCATGTGACAATGGGAGCGGAGATTGGAGTGACGTGCTCTGAAGATGGGGGTGGGGGCCACGAGCCACGGAAGACACGTGGCCTCTAGAAGCTGAGAAAGACAAGGGAACGATTCTCCCCTCAGAGCCTCCAAGAAGGGACCACGTCTGCTCATACCCCGATGTCAGCCCAGTAAAACCGATTTCAGACTTCTGGCCTTCAGAACTGACAGGGAATAAAGGTGCTGTTGTAAGCCACCAAGTGTGCGGTGATCTGTCATAGCAGCTCCGAGACACTAAAACAGCAGTGCTGTGAGTGAGTAACGGAGGCCTGCGGGGGGGGCCTTCTTGAGGAGGCCACGTTCGGAGTGAATGGCGTTCAGTGGATGAAGAGCGAGATGAGAACACGGGAGATGGAGTAGCCTGGCGTGGGAGGAGCGTGACAGGCAGGGAACCGCAAGGTGGCCCGAGCAGAGTGTGAGGGTGGGGAGCGAGGCCGGAGTGGAGGCAGGCCGGCGTGCAGGGCCTCACGTGTGGACCACGTTCAGGACTCTGTATCTTTTTCTTTAGAGCAGAAGCGCCATTGGAGACTGTCAGGCAGGCAGAGTGATACAGTCAGATTTATGTGTCATTTTTAAAATGGCCTTGATTGCAGCTGGGAGAGGGATCACAAAGGGCTGTGGCAGAGACGGGGACATGAGCTGGGGGCCTTGTCGCAGCCGTGTCGGTGAGAGAGGTCTGCACTGGGGGGTGCTGAGCTGTCTGGTTAGGACACTAATTAATTAATGTGTTGTCCTTTCCCTTTGTGTCACAGTGGTGTTTTAAACTGTACTTGCCCACCGTGAAACTCACCTGCTGCTCTTCTGCTCAATCGCAAAACTATACACTTTTCCCTGTCGTGACTCTTCCTGAGCTTGGCATTTTCCTGCCAGAGCAGAGCCAAAGCAACCGTATATGACTCTATATGTATGTGTGTGTCTGCATGTATTTGACTTAATATGTATTTTTAAAATGTTATTTATTTGGTGGGGGGCAGTTAGGTTTATTTATTTATTTATTTACTTACTTTTATTTATTTTTAATGGCGGTACTGGGGATTGAACCCAGGGCCTCATGCTTGCTAAGCATGTGCTCTACCACTGAGCTATACCCTCCTCCATATTTTTTTTTAATTGAAATACAGTCAATTACAATGTGTCCATTTCTGGTGTACAGCACAATGTCCCAGTCATGCGTATACATCCATGTATTCGTTTTCACACTTTTTTCCGACAAAGTTTATTACAAGATACTGAACAGAGTTCCCTGTGCTATACAGAAGAAACTTTTTTATTTTTATATATAGTAGCTAGCATTTGTATATCTCAAACTCCTAAATGTATCCCTTCCCGCCCCCTTTCCCTCGTAACCATAATATTGTTTACTATGTCTGCGAGTCTGTTTCTGTTTTGCAGATGAGTTATGTTTTTTAAAGATAACTTCAATATGGAACTTTGTTAGAGATTTGTGGAAATTTTAAATTAATCATTCTCCTGGTTCTTATATCTCACTGTCTCCCTGTTTAATGCCATTTCAGGGTTTGTGGCTGATTTAAGAGGAATTCTCTTATAAAAACCATGTTCTCTTTCCTCTGATTATCTGTATTTATATCATTATTGAGTTGTGTCACCATTTCTCATAGCTCCTACAAGCTTGCCAAGTACAGAAAGTCCTCTCCTATCCCCTTCCTTTCATCACACAGGAAGAAAATCAACACCTTAGTATTTTTTTTTCCTTCTGTGAATAATTTCCTTAGGAGATAGTACTAGTCACCAGGCATGAACATCTTTATTTTATTTCCTACAATGTAAAACTCTAGAAGTCCAGACACAGCAGCTGTTCACAGAGGAAATGGGACCAAGCCTGGTGCCTGTGTGAGGTACAAGGACAGACTGGAGACCCAGTAGGTGAGGCCCTGGTTAGATGAACTAGGAAAAAACCATTCCACAAAGAGATCATAAGGAGACTTACCTGTCTCTGTCTTGATTCTGGGTAGGGGCAAAAGATACTCTGAAAATTCAGGACCACAATACAACCTTTATATGGATTTAGAGTTAGAATTCACATTACTCAAGCACCTTGAAGAAAACCACAGTAGATAATTTGTCTTCGAATGATCTTGGTTTGATAATGGTCTGAGATGCCTGGCAGAAGCCAAAGTAAATACGTAGTCTTTACATCTTCCCAGAGACAGATGAAGTTCTAAGGAACATGAATGTACCATCAAAAACTGAAGAACGACACAAGGAAAGACACAAATATAATAGAATGAGAAGAAGCAACAGTAAACAGAATCAGACTTCTAAATAATGCATATATAGGGATTACTGGATAAAATAAGTATTCGTGTGTGTGTATGTATGTGTGAGTAGTCACACATACATTTTGAAAGTATGACTAAGGAATAGAGCATATTAAAAATGATCTGTTGGAATTGACAAATAAACAAATAGAGCTTCTACAAAATATAATAATGTAAAATAAAAGCTGTAACCTCTTGGGGGGCCCAAACAGTGACCCCAGGCAGCCTTGGAGCCCAGCCTACGGGCCCACCCGATTGTTGAGCAGAGCCTTCTGCTTTGCCCAAGCTGGGAACCCATCCAACAACTCCTCCCAAAAGCAGAACATACCCTGCGACCTGACCTGACTAAGGAGCCCAGACAGGCACCCCAACTGACCACAGAGCACAGCCTGCAGCTCCACCCAGCTGCAGGGTACAGCTGGTGGCCCTGCCTGACCGGGGATCCTGGCCAGCAACCTTACTCAACAGTCAGCACACTCAGCAGCCTGCCCGGCCACGGAGCATAGCCTGAGCAACCCCCCTGCCCACAGAATCCAGCCAGCAGCACTGCCCTGCCAGGGAGCACAGCATCCCCACCTGGCCAGAGGTAATTACAGAGCCCAGTTAGTGGCTCCAGTTGATGCCCAGCCAGCATCCCTGCTTGAATGGGGAGCCATACGACAGAGCATGGGCAGCAGCCCTGCCCAACTGGAGACCTAACAGACATACACAGAACACTCCACGCAACAGCAGCAAAATACACATTCCTCTTAAGTGCGCACAGAACGTTCTCAGGTTAGATCATATGTTAGGCCACAAAACAAGTCTTAACAAATTAAAGAGGTTGAACTCATATTAAGTACCTTTTCAAGTCAAAATGGTATAAAACTAAAAATTAACGATAGGAGAAAATTAGGAAAATTCACAGATACATGGAAATTAAACAACACACTCCTGAACATGCAATGGGTGAGAAGAGATAAAAAGGGAAATTTTAAAACCCTTGAAACAAATGAAAATGGAAACACAACATACCAAAACTTATGGGATGCTTGCTGCAAAAGCAGTTCTATGAGGAAAGTTGACAGTGATAAACACTTATATTAAGAAAAAAGAAAGATGTGGACTAAACAACCTAACTTTGTACTCAAGAAATTAGAGAAAGAGCTAAGCCCAAAAAATAGCAGGAAGAAGGAAATAATAAAGATTAGCCCAGAAATCAATTAAATAGAGAATAGAAACAATTGGGGAAAAAATCAACAAAACTATTTGATAAATTTAAATAGACAAAACTTAGCTACACTGACCAAGACAAAAAGGAGGCACATAAATAAAATTATAAATGATCGAAGAGGTGCCCCAACTGACACCACAGGAATACAGAGGATCGTGAGAGGCTACTATGAGTAATTGTATGCCAACAAATTGGATAACTTAGAAGAAATGGATACATTCCTGGAAACAACCTGCTAAGACTGAATCATGAAGACATAGGAAATCTGAACACACCAATAATGAGTAAGGAGATTGAATCAGTGATCAAAAACCAGGACCAAGTGGCTTCACGGGTGAATTCTAACAGGCATTTAAAGAATTAATGCCAGTCATTCTCAAATTCTTCCAAAAGGTTGAAGGGAAAGGAACACTTCCAAACTCATTTCGTAAGTGCAGCATCACCCTGATACCAAAGCCAGATACAGACACTACAAGAAAATTACTGGCCAGTATCTCTGAGAACATAGATGTAAGAATCTCCACAGAATGCTAGCAAACCGAATTCAACAGCACATTAAAAGGGTCATACAAACCAAATGGGATTTATCCCTGGGATGCAGGCGTGGGTCAGTGGACACAAATCAATCAATGTGATGCATCACATTAACAGAATGAAGGATAAAAATCACGTGATCATCTCAGTAGATTTGGAAGAAAGCATTTGACAAAATTCAACGTTATAGTAGAAGTCTTAGCAGTTTGAGTATAAAAGGGCTGTACCCCAACATAATAAAGGCCATATATGACAAGCCCATGGCTAGTATCACGCTCAGCGATGAAATTCTGAAAGCTTTTCCTCTAAGATCAGAAACAAGGCAAGGATGCCCACTCTCACCACTGCTGTTCAACATCGTGCTGGAAGTCCTAGCCAGAGCAATGAGACAAAACGAAAAAGAAAAGAAAAAAAGAAAAAGTCTTCCAAACCAGAAAAAAAAGAGGCAGTTATCCCTGTTTGCAGATGGTACACTCTTATATAGAGAAAACCCTACAGGCTCCACCAAAAAACTGTTAGAATAAATGAATTCAGTAAAGCTGCTGCGCTGCGTGGTCAGTCTCCCTGGTCAGGTGGGGCTGCGGGCGGAGTTCAGCAGTTGGGCGGGGCTGCTGGCTTGCCCTCCCGTCCAGGTAAAGCTGAGAAGCCTTGTTTTTGACGATCTGACCAGGAAGTTTACGTATCACTTCTCCATGTGTTCCGTTGCCCGACTTAGTTATATGGCCACACCGAGCTGCCAGAGAGGCTGGGAAAGGTAGTCTTGGCTAGGCAGCCGTGGACCCAGTTCACATTTGAAGGTTTCTTAATAGGGAAGAAGAGGAGAGCAGATAGTGCAGGTAATTAGGGACGTCTACCACAGTGCGTGTTCGTTTTATTTTAAGCCATATATATTCTTTTGTACCTTTATTATGTTTCACAATAAAAATACTTTAAAAGGGCAGCAAGCATGGGATTTATTTTAAGGTATTTAGGAAGGGAGAGGACTATAGGAATGGAAGATTGGGTTGCGGGTTTTTTCCTCTTAATTTTCTCTTTGATTTAAATTAAGAAATATCTGTGTGGGGCAAGAGCAGTTTGGAGAATATTAGAGAGAAAGGAAACCAGGCTCCTGTTCGGAGGAAAAGCCCAGGGCAGGAGGGGAGCCTGGAGGGGGAGTCAGGATACTGTGTCCCCTAAGCCAGCAGCACTTGGACCCTCTGAACTGCAAAGATGAGCACCTGGCCTGGCTCTGCATCACCGTGTGACACCCCAGTGCCCACACATTGCTGTCTCTGCATGGGGAGGAAGTATGACCAGGTGCTTTTCCCTTATAGTCTCCCTCCCTCTTCCCTTCCCAGTTTAGTGCTAAATGCAATTCTGAGAAATAGGTAAGCATATAATCCTGAGTGAGCTGAACTGAATGCTGACACACTTACAAGGGATTTGATAGAGACTGAAGTTATTTGATGTCGTTTTAAAATTGTTTTACCTCTAACTTGCTTTCTTCTTTTAGATTTAAAGGTACAGTTGAGGAACTCAGTAACCAGATTTTATCTGCACGGAATTGGTTGCAACAGGAACAAGAACGGATAGAAAAAGAACTTTTACAGAAAATCGATCAGCTTTCCTTGGTTGTTAAGGAAAACTGTGTAGGTATAGCAATAACAGAGTAAAGTCCTTCGGTGGGACCTGCCGTGCTGGAATACTACGTAGTAAATTACCATTCATTTATTTCACACCTATGTTAAGCTGTTCAGTTGTTTCTTGCCTTAGAATCTGTCTCCATGGTTCGTGTTGAGTCTTTGTGTTTGCTACATTTAGAGATGGAGCACTTTGACTGGTTTTGGTTAACAAAGGCTAAGTAGACAGTGTCAATACTTTGAGCTAAGAGGAGCCTAAGTCAAGACTAAAACTAACAATTAGAAACTTACATCTTAGTTTCTTTTAATTTCATGATCTGGTAAAAAGTGTTGACTGGATTTCTTCCTCCAGGCCCCTCCTCACGCTATAATGCCAGTGTGAGATGTCAAAATGTAACCTATAAACAGAATCCATCATTTTCTTCTTCACCTTTCTCTTCACCCCGCTCTCCCACAGAACTACTCAGAAACCGTATCAAGAAAGCCTTGCATATATGCTTGAGACACAGATGTTTCTTGGTTTGGTATTCTAGCCTGACCATTGCCCTTTCCCTCCTGTTTTCTTGCACTGCTTCCTCCCCTGGGACTTTGATGGAGCATCAGTGACTGGTGCAGATTGCATCTCTGACTCTGCTCTCTCTCTCTCAGTGCCGAGCTGTTGAATTGCAGACTCTGCACTGAACACAGCAAGAGAGTTTTGTCATGCTGTAGCCCACTTACAGCTTTGTGTTTGTAGTCCTGGCCTCTAAAGCTTGCCTAAGGCCCAAGATGCCCATAAAAACCAAGCATGGTGACGAGGAAAGGAAAGAAAATATCCTATTTCAAATATTTGTGTCCCCACATTTTTTTAATCAGATCTACTGGTTGATTTACTTGGATTCATAATAATACATTGTAGACTTCTGGATCTCTGGATCACTATTGTTTCATGTAGATGGGTTTAATAACTAACAGTGAACTCCAGGATAATGGTGGCTTTAATATGGTAGAAGCTTACTAATCTTTCATATAAAAATAGTCTGGGTGTAGGGATTGCAGGGCTGTTGTGGCAGCTTGTCAGTCCTAAGTGGCCCATGATCTTTCTGGCGTAACTCTCTGCCAGACCTACAGTGACCCTTGTGCTCATAGTTCAAGATGGCTGCTAGAGCTCCAGCCATTACATCTGAATTCCAGGAACAGAAGGAAGAAAAAAGAGGCAAGGCTATGCCTCAGCTACTTTTTTAACTTTTCTGGGAAGCTGTGCATATGTTTGTACTTCCATCTCACTGGCCAGAACTTAATCATATGGCCACAGCCAACTCAGGAGACAATAGAAAAGGTAGTCTTTATCCTGGGTGACCTTATACCCAGCTGAACACTGGGGGTCTGTTACGGAACAAGGGGAGGCTGGATGCTGGGGTGAGCAACAAGCAACCTTTGCGATTCTGTTCCCTGCAGATTGTTGTTAAATGATACTATGACTGATGCGAATGCAATACAGACTCTTTGGAATAATCAAGTGCCGTTCTTATCATGGATCTCAGGGAGCCAGCGAAAGGGACATGGAGAAGAAGCTCAGCCAGATGTCAGCCAGACTGGACAAAATAGAAGAGAGTCAAAAGAAGAACGTGGAGGGGCAGAGGGCAAAGCAGGAAGAAGACAAGGTGCACGGGCGCATCAGCAAGCTGGAGCTACAGCTGAACGAGGACATGAAGGAGATGAAAGCGGAGGTTGACGCGGGTAGGCCAGCAAGGGCGCGGTGCTCGTGGTTCATTTCCTGTTTCATTGAAAAGCCAATTAATTAGTATCTCCTACAGCTGCCTGCGAGCCTGGCTGGTGAAATGCCCTGAGGTGATTTTCTAAGTGGCTGTGCTGTATTGAGCTAAAATGCTGTTTCAGGGAATAGCAGATACAGACTACTCTGTACAGGCTAGGTAAAGAGCAGAATCCTGCTGTGTCGCACAGAGAACTGTATTCAATAGCTTATAATAACCTATAATGAAAAACAGTGTGAAAAAGGATACGTATACGTATGTGTAACTGACTCACTATGCTGTATACCAGAAACTAACACAACATTGTAAATCAACTAAACTTTAGTAAAAAAAAAAGTTTCAACTCCAAGTACACGAAAATGGATACACCTCGAGAGACAGGCAGACTGAACTAAAGTCGCTTAGCTTTCAACTGATGTGCTTTCTCTTTAGTGCTATCTGCAGAGTCTTCTCTGGTCCTAGCCAAGGTCAGCACGTCTCGGGAATAAGCGCCTGTCTTTGAGGGGCCTCTGAAGGCTCATTTTTCACTGCTGGCTGTGTCCCACCGCCGCAATGAATGATTCTTCTCTACTCAGCAGTCCACGGGGCCCATTCATTCACACTTGTTTGAAAACATCAGAGCTGATTTCAGGTTCTGAAGTGCTGTCAGATAAAGAAGGGATTGGATTTACACTCTGAGCCCAGGAATACAGAAATGGGACCAGTAACAGGAAGTTACTTGAAGGCAGATTTTAACCCAGTATGAAGCAGAAGCATCAACAGTGAATGGTCTTAGAAAGACACTGGTGGTTTGTGAGCCCAAGAGCCCTTTTTTGGGGGGGTGTAATTAGGTTTATTTGTTTATTTATTTTTAATGGAGGTACTGGTCGAGTATGTGCTCTACCACTTGAGCTGTAACCCCCTCACCCTGCCAAGCCCTTTACTGAAGTATTCAAGTGGAGTCTGGTTGATCGTGATTAGGAAAGAGAAGACAGTCTGGTAGTGTGGAAGGGAGGACTAAATGATCTCCTAACCCCTTTAAATTCTGTGATTCTGTGAATTTTCTTCATGGAAATGTTATATTTTGGCCACATGGAAACAAAAGTAGGTTGTTGTCCCAAGGATGATTTTGCTATCCCAAAAACTATTTTATTTAAGGAGAAGCCTCAATTTTATTTATGAGTTGGAGAACTTGTGAAGATAAAAATGAATTTTCTTTCTCGGTCTTTTGTGCTATTCAAATATGGTATTCGAATATTTCATCGATGGTTAACTTTGCATCATTTTCTGAGCAGATTTACTATCAGCTATACAGCTTCTTACTAAGATTGTTAATATTTAGTACCTAATAAGAAATACATATGAGCCTTTTAAAATTCAAAATATTTATAAAAATAATACACTTCTTAATGGAGAATTATAAAGCACAAAATGTTAAAAAAAAAACCTTCTATCACCCAGAGGTCATTTTTGTGTATATCTTTCTATACATATAGGATATATATATTATATATATATACACATATTATATATTATATATTATATATATATAATGCTTTTTCAAATGAAAGCTCATGGAATACGTGCTGATCTATAACCTACCCTTTTATTTGATAGTATGGTGTATCTTTCCATTCAGTAAGAACATTATTTTTATTTTTTAGAACATTATTTTTAATGAGTAATTTTTATACCTCTTTTTTCATGAACTGTTATATAAAGAAAATTTTCTGAGAGAAAATTCTAAATTTACTAATGAAGATGAGGTCTTTTTGGCATTTATTTTAAAAACCAATAGGAATACAGAAAAATATGAAGTGACCTTTTGATGGGGAATTTTTCCTATTTTTAGCTTTTTATTTTGAAATAATTGCAAATTTAGAAAAACTGTAAGTCTAGTCCAAAAACCCTACATATGTTTCACTTAGAGTCACCAATTGTTAACATTTTGGAAATCTGCTTTGTGTGTGTGTTTGTGTGGTGTTGTGTATGAATATAATTTTTTTCCTGAGTCATTTGGGAGTAAGTTAAGTTGCAGAAGTCAGGATGCTTTTTCTTTTTTATTATTTCAATATATATACACTAAGAACAAGGACATTCTCTTAAAGAACTATAGTACAAAGTAATACCGATGAAACATCTTTCAGTAATCAATTTTCACATTTGACCATTGTTTCCTTCCCAGCAAACCTTCCTCAGTCCAGGTTCTAATCCAGAGTCACACATCGTATTTCGTTATCATGTTTCTTTATTTAGTCTCTTTGAGTCTCAATCAGTTCTGCAGTGATGTGGACATCATTAAAGAACACAGGCCAGCATTTTGTGGCATGTCCTACAGTCTGGTTCTGTTTTGCTTCCTCTTAATTAGATTCCGGCTGTGCATTCTGGACAGACGTGCCACAGAACTGATCTGTCCTTCCTGGGGTATCTTACCAGGGGGTATATGATGCTGGTTTTTCCCACAGTTGGTGAAGTTAGCTTTGATCTCTTGGTTAAAGATGTGTCTGTCAGATTTCTCCACTGTAATATGTCCTCTTTCCCTTTATATCTGTAGGGAGATACTATGAAACCATGTAACGCTCCTGTTTCCTATTAAACTTTTAATCCATTAGTGTTAGTGTCTATTGACAGCTTTTGCCCAAATCAACGATTACTATATGCTACAGGATTTGATACAGCATTTTTTAAGAAAATATTAACTCTTGTGAAATTTCTCTCTTCTTAAAGGG